GGAGACTACCAATGCGGATTTAGACGGAATCGTTCGACTATTGATCAAATATTTTCTTTACGGCAAATATTAGAGAAAAAATTGGAGTATAACGGTATTGTTCACCAGCTGTATATAGATTTTAAAAAGGCTTACGATTCTATTGACCGCCAGAAACTGTATAATATTCTAATCGAGCAGGGGATTCCAAAAAAACTAGTAAATCTAGTCAGGATGTGCTTGACGGAGACACTCAATAAAGTTAGAATCGGTAATAATTTGTCCGAAAAATTTGAGGTTCGTTCGGGCTTAAAACAGGGGGATTCTCTTTCGCCTGTCCTGTTCAATTTGGCATTAGAATATGCCATTAGGGAGGTAATGCGAACCGAGAAAGGGTTGGATCTGGGCGGGACAACATCCGTGCTGGGCTATGCTGATGATCTGGTACTGTTAAGCGAAGACGTTGAAACTATAAAACTAAATACGACAACGTTAATGAAAGCCGGGAAAGAACTAGGACTCGAAATAAACGTGGATAAAACAAAATATATGGTTAGCTGCAAAAATGGCAATACTACTGGTGATATCGATATAGATGGTAATATGTTTGAACAGGTAGATAAATTTAGGTATCTAGGTTCTACGATAACTAGAAAAAACGAAATTGAAGAAGAGATTAAGGTTAGACTGAAGGCGGGGAATGCTTGTTATTTTTCTGTGACAAAACTACTTAGTTCGCGCCTCTTGTCCCGAAACTTAAAAATTAGAATCTATAAAACAATTATCTTACCTACAGTTCTTTATGGATGCGAAACTTGGCCGCTTACATTAAGGGATGAGCAGCGTCTTAAGGTTTTTGAAAATAAAGTATTGCGTAGAATATTCGGACCGAAAAAGGATGAGTTAACCGGAGAGTTCAGACGGTTACACAACGCCGAATTGCGTGAGATGTATCCGGGTAATATAATTGATGTAATTTCATCGCGGCGAATCAAATGGGCTTGTAAAGTTGTTGGGCTTAGTAACGAGAGAATTCCTAAAAGGTTAATATTTGCTGTGCCGAATGGTAAGCGTCCGAGGGGTAGACCGAAGCGAAGATGGGAAGATTGCATTAAGGCCGATCTGAAGGGACTGGGTTTGGACGGCGAACGGTGGAGGGAGGTGTGTAACAAGCGATTGGTGGTGTCGGCATCGAACCTTCGGGTTCGCTAAGCCTTATTATTATTATATTATTATGTATATTTTTATGAATATATATATATATATATATATATATATATATATATATATATATATATATATATATATATATATATATATATATATATTATTTTTTATGTATTATGTGTAATATATATATAATTTTTTTTTAATTTCACTTATATAGATATGTAATATATAGTAAGGGGAAGTATGTAATATATATCGCGATCATGAAAATTTTCGAATCTGAGATACACATTCGGAAATACACGTTCTGAGGTCCCCTGAGTTCAAATAACCAAGTCCCGAAAAATGGTCTGTGTGTCTGTGAACATTCTAGCTTAAAAACGAAAAGTTACACGAACCTGAGATTACGTAATTAAAATAGGTATATGCCTTAGATGTGACAGCAAGTTTTTCCTTAAAATCGGCTGACCGGAAGTGCCACTTTATATCAACGGTGAAACACATTTTTACAATTTTCTCAAAAACGGCTCTAACGATTTTGATTAAATTCGGTGTATCATTGTATAATGAAGTGGTCTTTAATAACAATCGGGTCTTATCCCCATTGATGTCACTTTAAAGGGATTAAATGCCCAATGTTCATATGCGTCTTCCTCTAAAGTACATTAAATATGGTTTTTTTAAAATAATTAACTATCTATCATCATTAATAGTTAAGAAAAAATGCTGAATATAACTTTTGAAAGAACTTTATAATTTAAAAATGAAGAAAAAAAGAAATTTTTTTTATTTAGGTCGAAAATGAATTTCCGAAAATACTACTCAGAAGTTATACGTATAATATATCGTTGGAAAGCGGAGAATATTATAACATTAAAATCCACCTTATTAAGGCAACGGCACTGTTTAAAGAAATATTTCATAGTACTTATGTGAAAAAAGGAGACATATTTTTATATTTCATGGATGTATAAAGGATATGTTTATAACCTTATATACATTTACTGTAATTTAATAATTGTAGGTATGATGTTATATTTAAATATTTAGGTATCAGTCCTTTGCTTCCGAAAAATCGTTATGTAACGTTTTAGAAAATTAAACTAGTGAATAATTTGATGAATTTTCCCTTTTTTAAATCCGAACATTACTCACTTTAAATTAATGTGACAACTTTTGACCTATCTATGACAGGCAATAAAGATCTTGTAGTTTCATTTTAGTAAACTTTATATTGGAAAATAATAGCTAATAGACGTATAATCCATAATCATTTATAGGTTGTATATAGAAATATACTTTTAAATCTATATGTATAGCTATATATATAGCTCTGAGACTGGAGTTATGTGGTTTACAAAAACAGATGGATTACCGAGGTTTTGTGAGGTTAATTTCTAGCGTTGATATAATTAATAGAATTTTTTTTATTTTAGTGGTTTTAATGGTTTGTTAGCTGTAAGCTTTAAGCCATAGCTCCATTAAAAGTGCACTTTAAAAATTTTATAATTGCCCAACATTGCCAGAAAATAATTTCTATTTAAACTTGAGGTAAGTGAAAGTTGTGTATTGCGCGCACCAGATTTTTTAAATTGATTTTAGTTTAAATATGTTATTCATTCATGCAGATTAATTGTTATTGATTTTGTTCTTTGAAATATTGAGAAGGGGGGAGGGAGGAGTTACGAAACGATATTCTCATCCCCTCTCTTTATTTTTACTGCCTGCGGAAGATCGACCACTCGCCCACCCGAAGTCTGCATCTATGGCAGTAAACATACTATTTCCGATTCAAGAGCGATGGGTATTGACAAATGAGTTGTCAAAAGAATGTGAATTCCAGGGATAAATGACGAATCTCAATTTCGTTCCTTAAATAATCTCTAAGATTTTAAGTTATTTAATGCTTTGCGGAAACGTGGGTTCATTTAAAATATTGGTGGAGACGAATGGAACCATTTTAAACATTCGGGAGATGGGAGGGGGAAGTAGGAGATAGAGCGCTTCCCCACCATCACATAGCCTACGAGCTAGATTATGGGAATTTGGAAGCTGTGTAGTGCTTTCAATCACCATAAAAAATATCTTATTGACTGATTACCAATCCAAATTTAATTAAGTAATAATTTTATATTGTTCCGATTGATGGTACATAATAATTGTAATGTTGAGCCGAAATGAGCTAAGATGTATATCAAATTCGCATTAGTGACAATAAAGAAGCTTTGTAGCCTTCAAAGAATTGCTAACAATGGCTAACAACATCCACTTCATGACTGGTCGTTTTATTTCTTACGAGCATCGCCTCTTGCCCATTGTAGCCCTTCTACAAAGAGATCTTTTGTTTTCTTAAACTGATCTTTTGTTGCAGCAATTAGCCAGCTGTGGTTCAATGAACCGGAGGGCCTCCTTTTCCTGATTCATTTTAAACCAAGAGGTTATACATGGATTTAACTCATTTATTTTAGTTGATTGAGAATCATCCGAAAAATCTATTTCGAACGGAATGAGAACTTTAATGACTCGTATTTGTAGCCAGTTGTAAATTGGTTACAGTAAACTTCTTTTGTCTAAGGTAGAGTAAATATAAAATAAAATAAAGGAAGGAGATGGTCCGGGGTTGAGGTCATAAATAGGCTAAATAGTGGTAAAACTATTTAGCCTATTTATGACCGCAACCCTGGACCATCTCCTTCCTTTATAATGCAACGGTCAACTATTAAATATTCAATAAAATAAAATATTGAAAGACTAAGAGAAAAATTCTCTGCATGATAACCGGAACGACCTAGGATCAGTACTAACACATGAAGAAGAAATACCGATGAAGAGTTGCTTAAAGAAACTGGTCTATCAATATATCAGGATATGAAAGCACAGAGGTTAATAGGAGCGAGGAATGTAGCTCGGAGAAAACTCCATGAGGAAGCTCTACACGACAATGATTACCGAAATAGTAGGCAAAATACCACGTAGAAGGCCAAAAAGCAGATGGAGGATCGAATTGAAGTTTTAATGATAATATAATTACAACTTCGCGGAGGAAAGGGGCTTTTAATTCTGATATTAATCCACCGTCCTCCATCCTGAACCGAAAAACCCTCATATATCAATAAAAAAATTAAATCACTGAGTAATAACGATAATTTTTCCCTCTATAAAATCTAAATATTGTAACTATTATTGACATATTTTATAATAGGGTTGATGTTATTTTGATTTATTTGATGAGATTTTGCATCTATGATCGAAATTCACAAATATGTATCTACTGAATAGTTAAGCTCCTTTGAAAGTGTACCTAGTGAATTTTTGCAATAAAGCAACGGTTATATTTAGTTCACAATATAATATAAAGTTATCGGTGTAAAATTTATCTATCTAAAAAAGAAAAAAATATGACAAATAATCTAATATTTAAAATTTTAGTATATGTACCGCCAAAGCAAGTTTATTTCATTTTATATACATTTACTTTGAGTATTATTTTTATGTATTATGTATTTTTATTTATTGTAAATAGAGTGTCAACGTGCTCTCTGAACACTATTATAAATGTCCTTAATTGTGACAGATTGTAATAATTCTGAATAAATTGGTTGGAGAAAAAAAAAATTAAAATATTTATTATTTTGTTATTAATATATATATATATATATATATATATATATATATATATATATATTAATTTTATATGGAGTGAATGATTTTCCTGAATTTGACATTATTAAATTCTAAGAGTATATGGTTTAATTATTTATACTTTTAAATATATAAATGCACTACTTATGATTATAATGAGAGTAGTCACTTATTTGAAGGTAGTTAGATAATTACAAAAAGAAAAACTCTTAAATGTCACGCCCACCATATCTTTCCAAGTCCACAATGTCACCAATGTTTGGAGTTATGGTTATGGAGTTTGGATAAAGTTGTCGGTGACTTCTAGATCTATTGGACTTGTAGATCCAAAGCACCAAACTGATTTTGTTCACGAAGTCCTTACCTAACTTACAAGGCAATAGCAACTGCTGACGAATGGCCATGCTTTTCTTACTTTTATTTGTCAGGAACTTTTAAAAGGGATGAAGTTTTCAGATTTCCCCTTGCCATGATTTCTTGTTCAACGAACAGTGCTGGACTCAGCGGGGAGGGGAGGGGGGAGGTAGAGGTAATACCAGGTGCTAACTTAACAAGTCTTTTTTTTCTTTCTTGAAAAAAAATCATCATGGAAGAACGAAGAAAATAATTCAATTATATATTTTTTAAAAATATAAACTGTTATAAATATCACAAACGGAGTATGGTGCTAAGAAAAAAAATATCGCGAATAATTTTATACAAATTAATTTATGAGAACACCATTTATTATATATATATATATATAATATATATATATATATATATATATATATATATATATATATATATATATATATATATATATATATGTATAAGAAAAATGTTTATCGTTATGATTTCTATTTTCAAATACAACATTACTCTTGAGAATCATATCAGGTTTCAACTAAAGATAAAAAGACAATTACTAATTTAAAACAGTTATTTTTTTAAAATTGTTATTATTGAATAATAATTAACTATGTTTATATCAATGTCAATGATAATAGCTATCAATAATTACATTTACATTATATTTATAGAAAACGTTAATTAATAAAATAATAGAAATAATTAATACCAATAAGATAAAAAAAAAAAAAAAAATCAAATGAAAAGTTAAATAATGTAAAATAAACATCTTAATCACAGGCATATAGTTTTAACGCTAGTTAATTCTAAAATGTAAACCGAAATGTTAATTTTACTTATTTGGACGACAAAGAAAAAAAAAATATTTATTTGTTAATATTTTCTCGCAAACGATAAAACATCCATCTAGATTAGAGTGCTTTGAGCTCCATCACAAAGGAAAACCACTTTAGGTAAATATATTTTTCAGGGAGCCTTTTATGATTCGGTTTAAGTTAATTTAAAATTATTAAGGTCATTAATATTGTTATTGCAATGGACATTATTCTTCGTCTTTGTGTGCCTCCAAGTCTGTAGGTGCCTCGATCCGTGCTTTCCAGAGATTGAGTTCCCATGCTTGAGTCTTCACGTCTTTTTTAGTTGCATATCTTTTGTATGTTTCGTCCAGGAGATGTAGTCAATCCACTATAGCTTAAATGTGTCCAGGTCATTCATCTGATATAGGTGATCAAACCACTTTAGTTGTATAATTGCTAACATTTTTTTCATGTTGGATAAAAATAATCTTTTAATCAAATAAACTGACCTGCTAAGGTGTAAAGAGCACAGGCTATTAACGTCTTGTGGTCGTTGTTGCAGTGGCCGATAAGTGCAGCTAGAGTTGCCATCAAGAGCAGCAAAACAGCAACTGCAGCGAAAGGCATCGAAACCCTGGAATCATTAATTTGTAATTCAATGATCCATATCAAAAATGAAAATGGAAATTAAATAAATAGAATATAGTTTTCATTTATATTATCATTATTCGACGTAAAAAAAAACTTGGTCAAGTTCAAAAATTCTGGTAAGTAGATCATACTCCAATATTTAGAATCAACTGAGTTGTTTGGTATACAAACCTTTTTCATACCAGAATCTGTTACATTGCAAACTAAAAAAAAAAATAGAGAACTTACAAAATAGATGTGTCCTTATAAACTTACAAGTTAACCCTATCATCATTGATAGTTTCTTCAGGTGACATGAGAATTTTTTCTATTACAATTCTAATTTCAAGGCAAATATAAAATAAATATAGGAATGTGAAAGTAATAATAATAAATTAAGAAATTCTTCATATTTAGCCCATATAGAAATCTTTGATTATTTTATTTGACATAAACATTGAAGCTTAAATAGTTTTTGGGGCGAAATGAATTAAAATGCTTTTGGGACGAAATAAAAGATAAGAAATAAAAATTGTATTAAAAAGAAATGTTTAGCACACAGGCGTAAGTAAGATGTAATACCCCAAATCTCTTACTTATAGAGATATTTTTGAAACACCAAATTAAATATATTTATGACAGAAAAATAAGGTAAATTATTTAAAATTTTGATGGTAAAAATAAATTTTATTTTATTAATATATATATTTTATCTTCAAATATTCATCTGTAGAAGTCGAATCACTTGAAATTTAAATAAAATTATTTTAAGATGAACCCATTAGGTATAAAGAAATATATATATTAGCATGTTAGGCCTAAATGTACTAAAAGCTATGAAATATCCAAGAGATTATCATAATGAATGTATCATAGTTACAAAAAAAAAATAAATATGTAAAATACCTAATATACCACAATCTTACATTAGGAGATTGACAATCATGGGCTCAATCTAAAGCTCAGTCTAATTTCTGTAATGATTTTTCGTTGTTCTGTCACAACTTGCTTTTTGGTAGGTTTTGTTTATTAATTTATAGAACTGAAATAGAAAAAATAACTTCATTCCGGGACAAAATACCTTGAGAAAAACAGCGGTTGTAGAAAAATACTATGTATTTCTAGCCAAAAGACTGAACTATATTGAAAAAAAAAAAAAACCATTAGATTAACTAAAATATTTACATAAATAGTAAAGAAAAATAAAATAATTTTTTTTTCTAATAGGTTGGAAAATTTCTTATTAAAAAAAAATAGAAATATATTGTAACAAAAAATGAAAATTTCTTCTGTTTCCCAATAATATTTAAGTAAATTTAAATAATTAGATAATAAAAAAAAAGGATAAAAACATTAAGTATAAATAAATAAAATGTACATGTATGCTCTATACTATGAACATATACTTAAACTTAAATAATTCAATTTTAGTAAAAAAATAAACTGTATAAATACCATGATCAATAGAAAAACTATATTTGTACAAGATAAATGCCACCATTGCTATTGTAGTGGTTATACTACTAGCGCAATACTGGTCAGTGATGCGGGTTAGTATAAATTACGGCGCTAATGCCTCCAAGTACACATTATTCACAACTATGGAATTATTTGAAATTATTATAAATTCTATAAAAGAAATTAATCACTATTAATATTATAATTTTAGTAATGCTCACATGTCAAAATGAATCGAAATAATTTATGGAAAGACTAATATTTTTATTCTTCGCACGTAGATACAAAACAATAATTTTCCAATCTAGAATTTTAATGTTAGAAATGGAAGCTTTTTGGTATATGAGTAACTACACAAACTTAGGTACTGACTAGTTTTAACTAAAATATTTTAAAATAAATCATTTAATATTTTTTTTTTCTGGGCTTTTGATCGAGTCTGGCACCCGGGACTACTTTACAAACTCCGTAAATTCCTACATCCTGCATACTTCCTCATTATCCGTTCCTATCTAACTGATAGATACTCAAAATTCAACCACAATAATGCTTATTCATCCCTCTTTTCCCAGTCCGCTGGTGTTCCTCAAGGTAGTATCCTTGGTCCTATCCTTTACACAGTTCATACAGCTGACATCCCAACCCATCCTAAGACTGTTATTACCACGTATGCCGATGATACATGTGTCCTATCCGTTAATAATGACCCAACCATTGCATCCCAAACTCTTCAATCACACATCACAAGCCTTGAAGAATGGTGTCAAAACTGGAGGATTAAAATAAATTCTAATAAATCCCATCAAATCACCTTTACCCTTCGACGTAAACCTATGACCTCATGTCTTACTGTATCCTTTAATAATACCCAACTTATCCCTGTTGAACAAATCCGATACCTTGGACTTCACTTGGACAAACGTCTAACTTGGAATCCTCATACCAGACTGAAACGACAAGAAACCGCTCGACGTTTCCGACTACTCCAACACTTATTAGACAAACGCTCTAAGCTTCCAGTTAATTACAAAAGACTTATATACATGACTACAATAAGACCTATTTGGACTTACGGAGTTGAGCTTTGGGGCTCCACTAAGCCATCGAATTCCTCTCGTATCCAATCCTTACAATCCAAAATCCTTCGGAAAAGCCTCAATGCTCCTTACTTTGTCACCAATAAAATAATCCATAATGACCTTAATGTTCCTTATGTTTCCGATTTGGCCCAATCTAGATACCAATCCTTCCATAATAAACTTCAGAACCATCCGAATCCTCTCGTATTGCTTCCTCTTCTATTCCTGATAACCCTCCAAAGCGTCTGAAACGAAGATGGCCTCGAGATCTCTTATTGTAAATATATTTTGTTTTTAGAGTGCTACCAGTGGGTAGTTTCTCAACAAGTCATTTCATGTTATTATTTTATGTTATCAAATTTACTTAATGTATTTAATTTTTTAATACAGTTGTAAATATCATGAATAAATAAAAATAAAATAAAAATTTCCTGACTGCATTATCTGATATTTATTGTGTAATAGGTATACCAATGATTTCTAATTTTTCGATAAGGTGTTTATCAGAAAAAAGGTTTTTTTTTTTGCTATACTTTGTTGTTCCGTCGAGGTTCATATTTGGAGTACTATCAAATAATTTAGGATAAATTGCTTCTACGTACTTATGGAGAACACATAAAAGTGAATTTTTCCTCACTCGATTTCATATTCAGAAAAGATTTAAGATTCAGAAAGAAAAACACAACATGAACACATGAAAAAATTCCTGTTATGATGATGAGAAAAGCGACAAGAGACAATGAAACATCTGACCTAATACTTTTCAATGAACCTACCCTTTAGATTTCAGAATGGCACAGTCGCCATCTTTGGCATGTTTTTTATTCCCAGCTGGATTATAAACAAGAGAGTTTAATAGAAGTCAGACAGGTTATTGTGTACCAGAAAACTGATTCAAAACAAAGATAGAATGAAATATAACTCTTTTACCTATGTGTAAAATAAATAATTCGCTTTGTGAAAAAGACTTTTTTTTTTTATTTTAGCTGACCAATGGGTTATTGTATTCATAAATAAAAACACCTACTAACAATGTTTGTAAAAGTATTTGTATTATTATTATTATTTGTATCTTCAACAAATACTGTTTTTCTCGGCCATTATTTAAATTTAACTGAATAGCTAAATTTGAAATTTCGAGTTAATGTTTTTATGACGTTAATCGTATTAAATAATGAAATTTCAATTAGAAAGTAAAGAGTATTTGCCATCCATTCCCCCCAGAACACCTCCAATATAGATAACGATTATACTTTATCCACCACCTATTCTTGATTGCCAATTTCCGAAAAAGGTAAAAAGAAAATGACGTGAGCCCTCGTTGTTTGTTTTGAATTTCAATCGTTATTAGGGTACGGAAAGGCTCGTTTCGTTAGCATTTTAATTGGTTTAATTCCATAACGGTAATTTGGTTATGTGTTTACTTTATAAAGTAAAGGAAACGACTGTGAAAAGATATATCCTCTACAAAGGCAGCAATTTTAAAAATATGTTGAACGTTGAGTGACATTCTTTTCAAATAAAAACTTTTTCCCCACTTTAACGATAAGATAAAAGAGTTCCATTAATCATGAATGTGTTTTGCAATAAAAAAAAAGAATGAAAAGTTCTCACAGGTTTTTCCCGTTGGAAGTTTTTTCTGTTTCAATGTCAGCTTGTTAGTATGAAGGGGCCATACAATGAACAAGTTTGTTGGCCGGTGATAGATGAATTATAAATAGTTGATGTTCCTAGCAAACATTTTTTATGAACTGCTTGCTAATAGGAATATTGTTCATTGAATAAATATATTAAGTTATAGTTCAACATTTTAAGTTTTTTCTAATTAACTTATTGTAAATAAATAAATGAAATTATTTTAAATATAATTTATAGTTTTCAAGTTTTTTACCGGTAAGTTAACTCATTATATATATTATATAAAAGATGTGATGTAATAATGCTAATTTATCATTAATTAATTAATATTTTAATTTATTAGGTTGTGACTTGAGTGAATTGCAACTTCTGGGTATATATTGTTATTCTTAAAAATGGAAAAAAGTTAGAATAGAATGAACTTTTATTTTTAACCCAACCAAATCAATACATTGAACACTACTGCAATTAAAACATATGATGTACATTCATCGTAACATCTTTTGTAGAACATATCTTGAAGTTCCGGCAATGGTTAGATTCTCCATTCAAGGCATGAGTGTATGTGGCTAAATCACTCTCCCTCAATCTCCACTGTCTTTAGCAACAGTTTCGCGGTTGAGATATTAACGCAGAGATCTCTTGGAGTTCTGCTTTTTCCTCTTTAGTTGAAAGGAAAAGCTGCCTGATTGGATATAGGTATGACTTTTTTATGTTTTTTATTTACTTATCTTTAAGTTATTTTACTTTTTAATGTATATAATTTTTTATTTATTATTTTACTTTAGTACTATGTTTTCTGTATGTGTTATATATGGTGTGAATGTGTT